CCACACAGCATCCTTCCAAAGCCATCTGTGAAGCTGATCCAGCTGGAGTGGCCTACAGAATTCAGACAACTTGCACATATAGGGCCAGAAGAGTTCTCACTGTGCTTTAAAAAAAGTTGCACCATTTCAGAAAAACAATGAAGTGCCTTCATTCCTTACAGAATTGACAATGCTACTCAGGCTCCATCCATTGCTGCATTTTATATGGCATAACTTTTTGGAGGGTACTGCCAGAAAAACAGTAGCCCTTCAACTGGAACACTGCATGAGCATCCTCAACACCAGCCACAAGTCTCTTCTTTTATGCAGTTCTCTAAAGGTCTGACTGCCTGATTGAACTGCAGAAGCTATCTCTGAACAGCTGGCTTCATCTCACATTAACGGGGCACCTGACTCAACCTGCATCTGAATGAGGGTTGTAGTTTGTGCCTGCTCGAATGGCAGACTGCTCCCATGCAGGCAGAACTCCATGTCTGAAGGTGGGATTGCAAGACTTGGTGCTTCAAACTCTTTACTCAGCGGTTTGATTTATTAGGACTAAGTTCTTCACAATAATTAGATGTTAGTCTTGTCCCACCTGGAACTTTCTGAAGCTTTTAGCAGTGGATAAAAAGGTGTAGATTCACTCTATAAGTGTTTCCCCAGGTTCCCATTTCCAACAACCATCAGAAGCAATGTTGATGAAGCTCCTGAATAAGGTGTAAAACATGCTGTAGAAAGGGGCAGAACAGCAGGATCACAGGGATTTGTTTCTTTCCAAACGCTGTTACCTACAAGTTGGTTACAACCTGAAGGACTTTGTCCCCCCTAAATTCCTCTTTACACACAACTCCTGCTGCATACAAAACCAGTCCCCATTCCACCAAGTCTTCTGGCCACAGACACCATGGGCTCCCTGCAGCTGCAAGGAATGTGTTTCCTTTGCCCTCCTCCCCTTCTGCCTTTTATCACAAAGAACAGCGGGGAGATATCAGCTCTGAACTTCAAGTGCTACAAAACCAGAGTGAGATTTCCAGTTAAACAGCTTCCTTTAGTTGAAAGGACACTTCAGAGGGAATAGCTGCAAATCAATGAGGTTTTCTCTTCAGACCAGCATTGCTCACACAGCCTCTATGAAAGCTCTCCACTGCAAACAAAAAAGCTCCTTGTTCACTGCTTACCAGGGAGCTAACATATATCTTTTTTTTTTTTCCCCTTTACATTCTTATCCAAAAGCAAATGACCTGCAGGGAGTAAATAGAGTTTTTCAAGGCTGCTAAAAGGCCCAACTGCAGTAAGCACTACTCAAAAGGAGCAACAAAACAGGAAATTGGTCTTCTGTATTTGATACCATCCTGCTGAACATTTATCTGATACTCTAACCCATTGTCACCTACAGAGCAAACAGTTCTTCTCCACCAGAGTCACAGAAGCAATGTTTAATTTCTATGGAGACAGCTATTAAAGGCAACAGGACAAGATTTTTTTCCCTCTCTGATATCTCCTGGGGTACACAGCATTCTACCTACACAGGACACAGGTACACCTACAGAACTGCCCCCTGAAATAAAGGGTTTTTTTTTTTTTCTGTTTGTGCCACTGAAAGCAACTCATGTCTGAAAACCAGTGGGCCAGATTCTGACTTAGCACATGTCAGTGTAGATTGGAGATACTGCACTGATTCTGCTGAAATAAAACATACATAAGAACAGCATCCATGTCGAGTTTCTTCAGACTCTCCACGACCGTGGATGCTCTGAAGCACCACAAACCCCTCTGAGCTACAAAACATTCAGTAACACTGACCCCTATCACATTCATGCACTCAACTTTCCACATTTTGTTCCCTCCTCCTCTCCAGACAGCAAAAGAGAAAAGCACAGCTCTGCAGGCATAGCCGTAAATTCTTGTACACACGCTATCTTTGTCCTGAACTCTCCTGATATGGGGTACAGATCCCACAGTGAAGAAGGTCACTCAGTGCCTCCATTCTCCATTCTAACCGTTGCAGGACAAGATCTTCTTCTCCGCATCCATCCACCTCTGCAGCATGATCCAAAGGCTCAGGAGGACCAGCAGCACTTCTCAGCTCAGCTCACCCTGCCTCTGCTCCACCCCCTCCCTCCCTCTGCCATGTGGCACTCACATCTATGCCGTCCTTGCCAGATGGTCCAGGGGGTCCTCGGGGTCCAGGAGGGCCTTGTGGTCCTACTCTCTGAGAGGATCGGGGGGATGAAGAGGAAGAAAGATTATTTTTCCATCAGAATGAACACACAAGCTAAATAAGAAAGCAATCATTGAGTTCCACAGCTGCTTCACCTCACAGGGCCCTGCACCATTCTGGGCAAACTTGAAGGAGCTCAAAGCAAGGCTCTGTGGAAAACATTTTTAAGTGAGCACAGCCTCAGGGTCTCCAGCCCCTTTAACAGGAAGGAGAGATGGGAAGCAAACGGGCTTGGTTGTACAGGCTGTGTTCCTCACTGCCTATAGGAATGATCCTTATGGGGTAGAGGTCCATGGAAAATAAGTGATAATGTGTAGCATTAAAAATGCATTCAGTCCCAGCCTGATGGCGGTGATGGAGACAGGAGTCTGCTGAAGTCAGAATAAGAAAGGGAAAAAACGTCTCCTCTCTGAGCAGGATGTCATTTGAAAATCTGGGATTTTGGATGTGTGAGGTTGGGGGAAGGAAAGAAAGGTCTGATAAATGACTTCTGTATTGAGAGGACTCCAGAGAGCAACTTGCTTTAGCATTGGCAAAACAAAGGTTTCATTGTGGAAGCAGCTCTGCTCACAGCAGATGAGGGCAGCTCTGAATTTCCAAGCCAGACTGCAAAAATTCCTTACTGGCACAACAAAAAAAACTCACTGAGGAGTTACTTCCCCAGGCAAAAATATTAACATCATGCAGGGAAGTTGAATATAGCTTCACAAGCAAAGTGAATAAGGATTCAATACATTATTTCATAAATGTGAAGTTTTAAAAATTCAGAGGGAAAGAATAAAACATTCTCTGACTCACGGAGAACCAGATCAAGAGATCCCAGTCTCACGGGCACCTCATTGCTTCACTATGAAAAAAAGCTGTTTCTCTTATAACAACTCTCCCTTTCCTAGGGCTTTATCTCTTGCAGCTCTAATTGAAAAAAACAGTACTTGCACAGAAAGTGTAAAGCAGCAGCTCCTGCACACAAGAACTAAGAAGTAAAAGCCTACTGATGCAGGTATGAAAACAGCTCCTCGCTAGGCATGGAGAGTGCATGCTTTAAATTAACTCTAACGACCTGCTATTCCCACGTTTCATTCTGTAGTTATGGCATACACACACTGCAACGTGTCTTTCTCTTAGACACTCATTTCTTGAGCATAAAACCAACGTGAAAATTCTTACCTGAGCTGATGTTGCGGCTAATAGCTGACAAAGGAAGAGAAGCCCAAGAGTGGGGAATACAGTCATCGTGCCCAGGCTCTGTCTCTCCTTTTTACTCCTGGGCAGCCAAACCGTTTCTCTCCCCCTGGATCTTGGCTTACAAATGAGACTTCTCGCCTCCAGATAAACCTGCAGCTCCCACTGGAGGGGCAGTGCTCAGGAGCACAGGCAAGAGGGGCTGAGCCCAGAGGAAAGAGAAGGCTTTGCAAGGAGGTGGGAGCAGGAGGGGGAGCAGCAGGCAGTCATGAAGAGAGGCTCTCATTCATGCCCTGCTGGGCAGCCCAGCGAGCAGGGAAGAAACATAAGGAACAACTGAACTACAGACACACACAGGAGAAAATTCTGCATCTCCAGCTGGAAATACATCGTTCCTTAGGTCTCAGCTGAGGCACTTCTCAAAGCGCATCATCACTTCAGTGCTGGACAGACGAAAAAATAACAGTCATCCATTGCCTGAGGCTACTTGGAAAAATTATTATACACATAACGAGTGCAAGAATTACAGAGAAATGCACTTACTGCTTTGTGAGATGGTTTGTTAGCTCTGCCACAACTGTTTTTTGTTTTTCCTCAAGGGAAACCCAAAGAACGCCAGGCTTATTTCTCGAGGAAGTGATGAATCCTGACCAGAGGAAAGATGACTACAGAGACACAAGCAGGAAGAAAGAAGGAAAAATTCTTGGAACTACAAGGAATTATGAAAGAATTGCCTCTGAAATATTTGCAAGAAAGGAGCAGGGCAACAGCTGCCAAACTGATCCCCAAAAGGTGATCCCAAACAGCAGCCTGTTCACAATGAAGCAGACAGCTTCAGGTTTCCCTTTTTGAATTAAAGACAACTTCATCCAAAGCAATACTTGGAAATGGAGAGAATAAACCGTAGGACTCAGGAATAAAACAGCTAATTTGGTTATCAAGAGGAGAGAGCAGTAGAAAACCAAGGCTTTACAAATTTAATCCCAAGACTTCTATTTGACATCCTGACGCCAGGTTTGTATGGGCAAATAGTGCATGTCTGCCCAGCTCTCCAGCAGCCCATATTTCACCACCAGCTTTTACAGAGACTTAGAGGGCTCAAACATTTACCAGCATCTACAAGGATTTTTGGAACAGTCAGGCAGGGACAGAAAAGGAGAGTGTGCCTGTGTTCACACAGCTTAAAAATAAATTGAATGCTTGTTAGGCAGCTCAAACCCCACAGGAACTTCACAGCTCATACCTTCTCCTTCAAAGAGACCAACTGATGGCAAAGCAGATCCAGCTTTCCCCAGCTCCACTCAACAGCTCTGGCATGCATTTGTTGAGTAAGATGAAGGAAGGATGACATTTTCAGCTCAAAAAGTGTTTACTGAAAAAGAGTATTATCTCATGTCCCAAAGGGAGAGGTCCAACAGCTAAAGCTTCCGTACGCACACTAGAAACTGCTCAAAAGGGAAATCCTGGTTTATTCTACAGAGCATCACTGTAGCTTTCCATCACATACACTTGGGAGGTTCCAAAGCAACTGCAGATGGCTACAGGATGGGTTGGTAGACCAGGGCCATGGTCACATCCTGCCCTCAGAGATGAAAAACGTAAGTGGAAACTGGTATGCATTAAATACATGCTTTAATTGGTGATGTTAATGCAACAGACCGTCATACAGCTCTGACTGCTGAAATACATCCTGTGAACTCACTGCAAACACCTACAGCCGAAACTCTAAACTGAACACAACAGGGAAAGGTTTGTTTTGAGCACTCCAGATTAGGGCTCACTGTGAAATCCCATTAAACAGAAGACAAACTGCACATTAGCATACAGGATTTATGATTGATGCCCCAGCTGAGCATATATTCACAATGAAATGTCATTAAATAAAATACTCAAATCTATACAAAAAAACACGATTAACAATTCTTTATGAGCCTTTTATGAAAGAATTTTTACTCAACATCTTCAAGTTTTTATATCTGTAGAGCTAAGTGCATTCTTATTGGCTATTTAACACCATCTTTTCATAAGAAAGAAAATATTTTAAAAACACTGAAGCCTTTTTCCAGCACACGTGTGATCATCACCATTAAATACTAAGCTTGCAGACTTCTGTTCCCACACATGAGGATATGATGTGCTGAAGCAGGGCCTGCAGCCTGGGGAGGAAAATCACAGATCAAGTTCCTTGAAAGATGAAGCTTCTAACAAACAAAAAGCTGTAGCAGAGAGGCCAAACACTACACAGGCTGCTGCATCTGCTCTCTGGTGAGGTGGGTGAGCCTCTGTCTCCTACATGAAATAAACACCTCCTAAAAGCACCAAAAGTAAAACAATCTGAGCAAGCAGTAGATCGGACTTCTCTGTTCAACAGCTGGTGAAAGCGTTTCCTCTGCTTCACGAAATGGATCCTCTGCTGTAAATCTCTCTGAGCAGAAGTGCTAAATTGTTTTATATTCCCTCAGACTCGGTTGGACCCTGCACAAGTCAGGCAGAACAGCTAGCAGAGAGGTCAGTAGCATGAAGGCAGGAGAACAGTGGGCGAGGTCTGAAAGTAAACTGTTGATGGCTGTAAATGAATGAAGCAGACAAGCATATCCCCTCCAATTAAAGCTTCAATTAACTGACCCACAACAAAGCTCCAGCAGAAACCAGACATGCTGCACTCAAGCACGACCTCACAGTCTGACAAGCTGATCATTAATGGTAGAATGATCCTGCCACAACTGGGATGCAGGTTAGAGCTGAAACATCCAGCTTCATCCAGCAGGCCAGCAGAAAAGAGCCCCTCGGGTCGCTTCAAGTAGCAACAAAATCAGAGAAAACACAACGACAGAAACATTTGTTCCATTTTAGCAATCAAGGAAGGAAGGGCTTTGCATCTGCAGTGGGTAAGTTCATGTGGAAGACTACCAAGCTCCTGAACACAGTGGAAAAAGCAGGGGAAGAGGTGCTCCAGACAGCTCTATGCAAAGTCTGAAGGCTTTTCTCTTAGAAACCCGTAGACAATTTGTATTCTCAATAAATTCAACAAGGGCTACAAAACAACAACTGCAGAGGATAAAGAAAACAAGTAGCCCAATGTTTTTACACCATGGAGAACATTATCTGTACACAAAGGTTAATACCAGTCACAGACACATTAATATTACACATTTTATCCTGGTCTTAATTCAAACTTGTTTTCTTACAGGAGGAGAGGCAACAAAACTCTTACATGATGCAAAATCTCTCATCTCTTTACATAATACTCTCATCTCTTTCAGGCAAATGCCCCAGGAAAGAGACACCTCTGCAGGAAACTGTGAAGGTGCTGCCTTCCAAAACAACCAAGAATTTATATGGCAATAGAAAGGTCTGGCAAATTACATCATGCTATCTTACATTAAAATTCATGTATTTATTAAATACTAAATCAAATCAAGGAAACTGATTAACATTCTCCTTCTTTAAAAAGGGACATACCAGAAGCAAAGCAAAGTGCAAAAATCCCTGTTGCTCCAAGAGAATTCTGAACATCAGATAAAAAATAGGAACACAAACACCACAGCTTGTTGAGGAAGGTGACTAATTTAAAGTTTTCCCCTGTAGGGCAACCAAGTGCTGGTTCTCAGCAGTGTCACTACTGATGACCTTATCAAAGTGAGGAAGGGTGACAATGAGACGGGGTGAGCCTGAATCAGCCCAGTCAGTGTTTATTTTCTCCACAGCGTACAGCTTGCAGAAGTTGGCTCTCAGTAGTTAGGGCAGCACACCTCTGCTTGCTCGAGTGCTCACCGTGCTGCTCTCACACTGTTGCTATGTGCTCTTCACCAGGCTCTGCCACACGCTCAGAGCTACCTGTTCTTTGTATTGCAACCTCAGTACTGCCTTGTTCTGCACGAGAGGATGCAACGCTCTGCTCAGGACTCCCTGGAATTTGTTCGTTGCCTGTGGCTTGCACACCTTCTTTTTCACTCGCATTTGCTGTGTTTTTATGCTGTTCTACCCCACCCGCCTCACTGTTGCCTTCCAGGAGGGTGGCGTTGCAGGGGTGCTCATCACTCTTTGCTGTGACTTGATCTGCACTTGACTCCACGCCATCACTCACTGGAGAAGTCTGAGCAGTGCTGGGAAGCACGGAGGCAGCCGAGGAGTTCAGAGCCCCACCATTTGCATTGCCCTCAGCCTTCTCATCCATCTCCTCCACAGCCGCCTTTTTCTCACTGACTTTTTCATCTTCAGTCTTAGCATTTGAAACAGATGGATGTGACTGGGCACTGTGAGCAGGTGGGGCCATGTTCAGATTGATGGCCAAGTTGAACGTTTTATTTCTTTGTGTTCTCTTATCAACTTTCCTCCTCTTTATGGCTGCATCACCAGCCTCTGGCACTGTTAAGTCTTTGGGGCTCGCATTTTCTTCTTTTGGTGTTTCTTGGTCTTTTTCTGACTGTAAGAGTGGATCCAAGGGGATTTCTGCATCAATTGCACATTCTTCCAGATTACTGGAGATTTTTTCAATGTCAGAAGGGCTTTTCAGTTGTCCGCTCTTTATGGCGTCTGCCAAGTTTGCATCCAGTTTTCTTTTCTTGCTCTCCTTTCCACAGTCATTCTCTGTTGCATCTTGCAATTCAGCCTCACTGTTGCAATCCTTCTCCTGCTGAGCAAATTGAGTTTTTTTCTCATCTTCATCATCCCCACCTTTTGAAACACATTTGCTTATCTTCTCTGTTGTGTCCTCTTCATTTGCTTCAGTTTGCAAGTTGGCAGCATCACCAGCCTTCTGTTCCTCCTCTACAGTCTGGTTCTGACCCTCTTCCACTGAACCATCAATCTTTTTACCAGGAGTTTTCTGTTCATCTTCAGCCTTTTGGTGCAACTTTGACTTGTTGGAGTGGGGTCTGTACTTCAAGAGTTTGTCATGGGGCCCCCACACAAAGCTGCCCTGAGGTCTGTAGTGCTGCCAAGCGTAGTGGACTAGTTCTCTTCTCTTCTGCTTGCTTCTGATGGTGAACAGGAAGTAGTCCAAGGCACTTCTCTTGACATTTGGTAATGTCTCATTAACAAGAGTTTCTGTTAGGAAAAACTTTACCAAGTGCACTTGATAGTGTTCATATCCCATCTCCCCCAGGCACTTCAGGATGCGAGTAATCCGTAAATTGTTGTGGCTAAACCTGAGACAAACAGATGATTAAAGTTAAGTGAAACCTTTACAATCCTGAGGTCATTATGAACCTGTGGGGCACCTGCAGAATGTTTTGTGTACTGCTGAGTAATCTATAAAAGGCTATTTCACAATGCAGATGGAAATACGAGCTTGTCCTACTTCTAATGGACTTACAGCAACTATCTGCAGCAGTACCTTCCTAACCCCTCTTGAAATTAACTCAATTACTTAAAAACTTTTTGACTTCCTGAATTACCCACCAGTAGAAAACAGCCACCATATTGGGTCATACATACAAGACCATGCAGCCCAATATCTTGTCCCTGACTGTGGTAAGCTTTGTGTTAACAACGCCTTGATTTGTCAGGTACAGAAGATTTTCTTAACTTTGACTTTTTTTTCCTCCTCAAACAAGTGCATGGCTGTAGCTAAATGATCAGTAGTACAAACAAACAAAGACTCACCGGTTCAAGTTTAGAAATCTTTCAGCCCAATTCTCTGCTCTCTTGAGTTCTCCAGTTTCCTGGTTCACTAGAATTATTCCATAAAATCTCAACATGAGTCGATAAGCACGTATAAACCTTTCCATAGCTTCCTCTGACTTCTTCAAGGCCTGAAAAAGAGAGACTAATGAGCACAAGTTGCAATTCCCTCATAACCTACATCCCTAAGCAGGATCTGAATGTCAAACAAAGCATAATTATATCACTCATCACTTCATGTGCTGCTGCTAGCAAATGGCAGACACACAAGACAGACAACTGCTGATCAATGCTTGAATGAGACCTGCTCACACCAGGGCCCCAAGAAAGCAAGGGGGGGAAAAAGCCCTACACTTTAAACATAATTCTTTTAGGGAAAATTCTAACATTCTTTATATTTAAAAAAAAAAAAAAAAAAAGGGACATAAGCTTTCAATACCTCAATTTCTTGACACGTGAGTGGCTTCGCACGAAAATTCATCCCATGTTCACGTAAAGGAAATAGCCTAAGAAGAAAGAAGTTTTCAGCCCAGATGAGCACAGATGATATCCAACCCAGGGAACCCACTCTCTTAAAACTCAAACGATCCCAGAAATTGTGAGATCACAGGAATCTCACAGACAGTTCATATTCCCATGAACACAGAAGTAGTTAATTAGAAGACAAATCCCTTCCATAAAAGAATCGTACACAAAGGTGATAAATAACAGCACTTAAACTTTGCTTATTTCCAACCCTCACTCCAGTAAAACTTTGTTCTGCAGTACGTTAGAAGACCAAGCATTACTTTGCTGAGACCTATTACCACAGCTGCACTGAGAACCTGTGTCTTCAGGATTTCCAGAGCATTGCTTCCAAAGGTACAGAGAGAGAAAAAAAAAGGCAAGTTTCACTTAAGAGTAACTCCAGACTTCATGGGAAGGTGAATTCAACAGCACGTATACAACTGACACAGGCACTATATTCACACAGGTATTTTACCACTGTATGTATGAATGGTTTTCTTCCAGAACCTCATAGTTGTCCCACCAAGATTCAAGCAGATCTTCAATATGCAAACCTGCAGAGAAAATACAAAACTGAGGCGAGAATAAATGAGACCAAATGAAAACTGAAGTTAGCCAGTCATACCAGGCAGGTCATTAGCCATAGCCAGGGGTCAGCATTCAGGTTTATCTGCTGTACGGCTATACTGAGAAGTCAGAATAATTAAAAAAGAATCATGTATTTTTTTCAAACCAGCAAACAGAAAATTAAAGAAAATTAAAGAAAATGCAGCAGGAACAAAGACATTTTAAAATGGAAATTGTAGAGGGTTTTTTTTTTTTCCCATTTGGTTTCTGTTTTAATGGTTGTTCCACATGGATTATGCTACACCTCCACCAACTCCAACAGCCACAGTAGAGCTGCACTGAGCAGTCATCAAGCAAGGTACTCACCGTGAGGCATAAAAGCAATCTCATTTTTGTAGAAGCTCAAGTTCCACATATCTTCTTCCTCATCAGTTTCTGATTCTATCAAACCCTGGAAACGAGAACAAGAAATCAACAAGCAGAAGTAACGCAGTACTCACTTCAGCACTTCTCCTTCCCTCTCATCAGGAGCACAGGCTAAGTCCTTGAAACCTCTGGGAAAGAACTGCTTGTTTTTGATGCACCCACATGAACATTATCCTCTCCCTTCATAAATTAATCCTTTAAAGCTAGAAGCCTCAGTGTGAAGATGAAAGGGCATCTTCAAAGCTAGAACACATTCCTAAACTCAGCATGCAACAAGGAAAAGCCACGAGAGCAGGTGCACTATCATGAAGTCCATACCGGGTAACGATGCCTGTATCTCTGCAAGTCTCTTGCTGCATTCCAGTTGCGCCTGCCTGAGATCTAGAGAAAAGTCACAGATCAGACACCCAGGATAACGTGGCCTTCTGAAAATAAAAACGCAGCCTGAACTCAGCATTTCCCACACCTGTTCCCCTGTGCCCAGCAATTCACAGCTCCAGCACCCCAAGAACAGCCCAGTTCTTACTGGACTCAGCCAAAAGATTTTTCTTCGCAGTTTTATTGGGCTCTTTATGTTTGATGTCTGCCTTCTATCCCAGGCAGGTTTTCCTACAGAAATGGTCAGAGCTAGCTGGAAAGTCCCTGAATGATAAATCTTAGTTTGTTAACTCACAAAGTTTTAAGTAGACAAATTAAGTTCTATCTGCCTGTCCCTGAATCACTACGTGCTTCAGTCAAGAGAGATCATACTTTAAACTGTAGAATTCAAGATGCATAAAGATCATTTAAATTCAGGACTCTTCTTTCCTCCAGACATTATTCAGCATGCATTTTCTTCATTTTTGCTTTCTACTCTAGAGCAGTCCTGCTGATCTGGCATTGTGCTCCTTTGGATAACAACAGCCACATGGTCACACTAGGTATCTGTTTTATTCCCATAACAATCATCATTTTCATTGCTGCTCATGTTTCCAAGTAACCTAACTGTGTGCCAAGCCTACCTTAAAACTCCTCTGAAACAATGGTGACGAATTGGATCTTCTTTGTCCCTACAAAGAGAAGGCAATTAGAAGGAAACATACTGAAACAAAACAATACAATAATACCACATGAAGATACCCACAGCAGTAATTCACATGATCCCTATTAGTTGCCAAGTGACAGATTTGCCTAGTGACAACTGAATTAACATGGCTTTATTAATCATTTAAATTACCATAGAAAAAAGCCTGTGCTGCCACATTTGCCTGACAGCAAGGTATCAGGCTCTCCCTGCTACACATGCATGCTGGATTCATTATAGTCATAACATGTATAAAGCAATCATAAAGAACACTCTTCTGAACAGTGGAAGTTGCAAACAATGCCATTTTTTTTTTTTAATGTATATTTACATTTAAGTGCATTACATCCATGGTAAGAGATTTTTGTGACAACTCGTAAGCAACAGAGGCCGAATCTTGCTGAGTGCTACACCATCTTGTCTCAAACCATGACAAGATGTCAAGATGACGTCAAGGCACAACCAACAAAACAAACAAGATTACTGTGAATAAAAGGATCCACCCAGTGCAAAGCACACAGGAGCAAGAGAGTTCAGCAATAGCCAACAAGAGCCGAGCCTTTGAGAACAGGGATGAGGCAGGCAGAATCTTGCAAAATAAACCTTCCAAGAAACTTAGTGGAAAGAAGCAGCTCTCAAGTTATTTGAAAGCCTCAGTTGCTACTACTTAACTTCCTTTGCCTAGAGAAAAATAAGAAGGAAAACCACTTTGTATCGAGCAGCAAACAGCCAGAAGTGGTTCCACTAATGCAGGAGCAGGGTGAGATTTCCCAGCACCTCCTTGTAATGAAGCAATCCCTCCAACCGTACTGCTCACCGTTAGCACTTGAAATTAGAAGCAGGCACAGCTGGGGGGAGATGATCAATGAAGAATTTTTAAAGTTTTGTTTAAATATACATTTGCACACACTATGGTCCCCATTCATTTGGGTGAAAGGAATTAAAACACAAACAAACCTCCAGGTTCATGTGGTTCTGTTGTTGTGTTTTTTTGTGTTTTGTTTTTTAATGTAACTAAGCTGTGATGTGACCTAAAATAATACCTGTCTACATTGCAATACATTTCCCACAGCTGCATGATCCACACAGGATTAGAAATCAAGCGCTGGTATCCCATGGCTGCAACACCCCCTGCCAATAGAGCAGCTAGAAATGCACATAACTACAAAAAGCCATGTTATGCAGTTAATATTTGGAAAATAAATGTGGACACACACAAAAGACTGAGATATCTGCTCAGCCAAAGCAGATCAATATTATTCTTTCATTCAAGATGTAAGCACTGACCAAGATTTAGAGCTCTGAGATTCAGCAGTTCTTTTAACTGTAAGTTTTGAGCTCCACAGATTAAATCCTGATACATGAGGAATTAATGAGAACTTAACTGCCAAATACAGAGGAATCAATTTCAGACATTCCTTTCACTTCAGAATCAAAACCAATGTCTTTTAACACAGTTAGCTGAGCTGAGTTAACAGGAAAATAGTTTTAATTCTGAAAAATGATTGGTTTGCTGAAGAACAAGCATAAATACAGAGACAGACATGGCACAGCGGTGTAAGGTGCTATTGGGCTGCTTCAGAAAGAAGCTGGGTCAAGGAAGCAAGCAGGCTGGAGCACAACATGAGGAAAAACAATGTGGAGAAGCAAAGAGCAAGAACTCAGCCCTCTGCCCATGGAGGTGTTGTTCCTGGATTTCTACAGACTTCAGTACAAGCCACACAGAAATGTGACCTTCACTTTCTTTCCAGATTACGGAGACAAACTTGTACACACACACAAAAAAATCAAACCTTATTTCAAACAACATTCATAAGCAACTTAAGGTGGGATTCCACCTCCAGCACTGCTGAAGCATCAACCAGAACGTACACTGTTTCATGAAGAGCACGAGGAGAGCAGAGAAAAAGCTGGAAAGGGTAACACCAACTGTGTTTGGCTGGAAACTGGAAATCAAATCCAACTGAAAGGGCTGAAAGGATGCAGAGATTATCAACAAGAAAGAAGACAGTCTTAGATGAGCGATGGAAACCTTCCATTTGGGGATAGTTAGGAGATGGCAGAACTACAGGGCTTGTTACGAGGCTCTGAGCAATGCAGCACAAACCCCATGCGCTACAGCAAATGAAGAGGTGATCTCTGAAGATGAGCATAAGCCCCAAGATGTTCTGTGGTCACTCTTGGAAGAACCTTAAAGCACTGGAGTGCAAAAGAGTTAAAAAGACACCTGGAGAAATTTTTAATTACAAATACGGGGTATTTGCAGAGAAACAAGTGACATGCAAGCATAAAAGAATTTGAAGGTTTTGATAAGCATGTAGTAAAAATAATAAAAAAAAACCCTCTAACCTCAGTATTGAATAAATACATTAGCAGCTTCAGGAATATAGCATACCATCTAGGCTGAGGGGAGAAGAATTAAAGTTAGTGTAATATCAGCAGAAGTAGGAACTTATTTTGGAACCTGACTCGTGGCTTTGGCAAGTTACAAAGGCATAGACTTATACCAGAAGATGCACTGTTTCTTTTTGCACTCATTCTCACTCCCTTTAAAAAGGAATCAGGCACTGTAAGACAGAGGTGATTATATATCCATCCGTGAAGGAAGAGCTCCACTTTAAAGGTGAAGAACAATATTCCAGGGGCATAAATCCCAGAGACAACATCCTCCTCAAGGCAAAGTGAAAAAAAACGGTCCTTGCTTTTACTGTTGTCACAATCCAGAAGTCGCTCTAAGAAAATAAAAATCTAAAGAACAAACATCAGAAAGCACAATCTGAAAGTTCAAGGGATTTTATCAGGTTTTAAAATTCGTAAACAAAACCAGAGCTCTAATCAAGAACAGAAAATTGACCGTGTGCCATCAAACAACGCAAACCACATAAAGGAACAGGGAAGGATCTTCCATTCCACCTAAAACACCTGTGACCTCACAAAGATCTATGCCAATAGGCCTCACACCATCCCCATGAAGATGTGCACGCCCAGCTGCTCTATTTAAGCTTTGATTTTGTTTGTGAAGTATAGGGGGTGTGGCTTTGTACTAAGTCATTGATGTTTGGAATATTGTGTTGCATAGAAGTTACATTTTTTTTTTAAATAGGGTTATTTTATTCACTTAGTGTTTATAGAAGAAAAAAAAAATAAAGTTTAATACTAATACATTCATATTAGAAACTTTATTAGTTTCTAATATATTATCTGCTTGTTCCCACCTTGAGAATATGGATGCATCCCTGAAATGAAACCAGAAGCAAAAGATCAGTTTTCATTTCCCCAAAAGGGGAGGAGTTAACAGTGTTTCTGCTGGATCCATAAAAGGCTGAATAGTTTTGCATTTGCAAAGCAACATTGTAAAGATAGCAGCTTCAGAATAGACAGGCTCCTCATAAAGTTGAATCAACGTAAGAAAATGGAGACAAGTGTTAACATTTTGCAGAATATAACTGCAGTTCTGAGAACATCAATGGATCTTTTCAGTGAGTTGCTATATAAATAATATCTCGCATAAGAAAAAAAAAAAAAGGCTAAAGGAAAGAAAAACTCACAGCTCATTTTAGTAATGGTCTGATGGTTCTCCATGGCATGAAAGAGAAAGGACACTGTAGAGGACATCACCGTAAAGCAAGGATCTGATGCAGACACCATGCTATTGTGCCAAAACAGTGTCCGTAAGCAATGGAGAAAACATGCTGCACCATGTAGAAGACAAAATGTTATTTACAGGATAAAGCAGCCATACTACAGGGTGTGAGGGCAAAGAAAATGCGAGAACCCTGCACATAGCAGCCTAATGAAAGTTAGTTCTTAAAGCTCCAACACAACTCTGCCACTGCTATCTGAGTCGCAAAGACATCATTTCCAAGTGGGCCTCACATTGCCTCCTCTCTTCGAGGTTAGAAGACTGGCTCCACCGAGATGAGGACAGAACTACACGCTAACGATCGCTGCCAGAACATACAAACCTTCCGACTTATTTTAAGCGTTTCATCTGCTCCAGTCCCCGGCTGTAAATCGGGATAGGAGGGAAAAGGGGCCCAAAATACAGGCAGTAGGAAAAGCAGCCGGGCCAGGAAGATGCACGGACAAGGGGAGACGCGCCGAGGAGTCGGGGACTGGAGCCGGAGGAGGCGCTCGGACAGGTGCACGCAGGGCTCTGCCGCCCGCCCCAGTGCCTCCAGCCCGGCATCGAGCGAGCTGAGGAGCACCGCTGGGCCTGTCGGCACCCACCTGGGCCTGCCGGGATTCCCGAGGCGAGCTCAGCACAGACTTCTCCGCATCCTCCGGCTCCTCCCCGGCGGCCGCCTCCGCTCCCTTAGGCTGGCCTTCACCGCCATCCTTGTCCTCCTCCTCGTCGTCGTCTTCCTCCCAGGTGGAGTCGTACCTCCAGAAGCACGTCTCGTCCCCGTCCTCGTCCTCCTCCGCCCTGAAACTGAACCAGGCCGCCATGGGAAGCCGGCAGAGGAAAAGGAAAGCGAAAGGAACGCCGGGCCAGCCCGCACAAAGCCGGAGCACGTGGGTCGGGGCGGAGGAGGTGGAAGCCCGGCACGCCCCGCCCTCTTCCTGCGGCGCGGCGCCCCATTGGGCAGCAGGCTGCTCCGCGCGGTCCTAGCGCCCGCCCGCCCGGCCCGCGGCCAGTCCACCTGAGGGAAGAGAGGAGGGAACGGCAGCTGCAGGCAACGAGCGGCCTGAGCGAGACTGGCTCTTGTTCCCGTGCTAGCTAAACGGTGGTGGGAACGGGGTGCTGTACGAATGGGAGCTTTTCTCCTTCCATCAGCAAGACTCGGGTGCGGGAACACCCTTGCTGCTGCTGCAGCACAGTGCACGAGAACACACGCGTGGGGTGGAAAGGAAGCTGTTGGTTCCTCACCTTAAAGACAATACTGATAAAGTAATTCTTTTTATTAACCGCTCGTCGATATGGTGAGGCAAATTCAGCCACATTTCAGCCTCTTTCAGTCACCATTTCACACGTTGGTTGACCGCAGTCCATCTTTTCACAACTCAAAAATAGTAATTTCTATCAAATCTTACTATTCTGGTATATAAAAGGTAAGTGTTACAACATCAGTAACATTTTAAATTATAGAACAGGAACAACGCTTTGCAACACCAATTCCACATCAATAAAACTGCTTAAAAATAAATAATGAAGTACAAAACCTGCTGTTACATACAACTGTGGTACAGACAGATGAAGCAACATCTCCAAGTTTAGGCACAGCTCAGCTGATCCCTTTCAAAACCATGCGAGTCCAGCGGATATTTAATTTAGGACTCATTAATAATCCTCCTTACAGGTGTTGTCATTTTCACTTCAGTTATGGTATACAAGCTTAGCAAGATTGAAAAAAGTTACATCACTAAAGGTAAAAGAAGTAGATTTTCCTCCAGCAAATGGTGTGAAAGAATACCTCAGCACAGCAGTCGTATTTAAAAGGATTTTGGTTTTACTGAACCAACAGATTCAGATATTTGATACAAATGGTATGTTTGGACAAACGGCCAAACAGCATTACCCACAGAGGGTCTGTGATGTTCAAAGACAGCAACCAAGCAAAGGCGAAAACAACCAATTCAAAACTTACAGATACAACCCCTCTATTTTCCATGAATCGAGGCTCTGTGTCTCACTGAACACTTCTTTCAGGAGCTGTTCCAACACGGCGTGCGCTACTTGGAAATACAAACACTGCAACTGTTACATATGCATAAACCCTCCCTGCTGCCAGCTTTCTCCCTGAGCGCCCTGAGCAGGTTGCCACCGTGCAGCCTGGTGCCACGGCACAAACAGATCAAGGATGGGCACAAAGTCCTGTATGCATAAAGGCAACGTGCAGGTTCTTCAAATACCTGGCTCAGATATCATTTCCTTTGTGAGAAACGTTTATCTAATGACAATCCTACTATTTGTTTTTAATATTCCCTCCTCACGTTCCACAGTCAGCTACTTCTGTTGTTCACAGCTTTATGTCCTGCGTCGTTTTGCAGCGCTGGGGCTGGAAGGGTTGCTGTTGGCATTTAAGACCTTTTCAGTGACTCTGTTGCGTTTCCTCTTATCAGATCCTTCTTTGGACCCAGAATCTGTCAAAGTCTTCTCCTTCTCTTTGCTGCTTGGCTTCTCAGTTGTTTTTCCTAAACTTCCAGAGGGTGTAAAAACTGAAATAGGATCAAAAGTAATGAGTCCAGATCAGACTCATGCACGTAGGCAAACAAGAACTGATATAAAATCTCTTCATATTACATTAAACTTTTCAAATAAATACATTCTCAGCACCTTTAAAGATCCTTTAAGTACTACTTTCATTTTTAAAAAGGCATGGCTTTCTTTTATTACTTGATTTCGAAGTTGGGCATGCATGTTGAAGGATAGAAATGACATTCATTAAGTGGAAACAAGCAGCACTTAAAATACTTAATGAGAATATTTTATATAGGACCAATCTGTGAGATTTATAATTAGCACTGCTCATTACTTTTGGGATTTGAGATAGGTTTTGAAACAGAACACCCAAAATGTGAAACTTCATATATTTTTAAAATACATTTTTAGACCTTTTATTACACTGATCTTTAAAACACTTATTCTGCAATATGATGACATTATGCAGCTAACAGTTGGCTTGGTCTGTTAAGGGAAATAGCAGGATCTCTACTGTCTGTGCTTGACTTTGTTCTACAGCAAAACATTTTTCAAAAGTAAGCTTTTCCCTCATTTTAAGAGGAAAGATAATGCAAAACAAACAGACAAAACCCCATCCCACTCTGCTCTCCTTCCCATTGTAGCATCTCAAGTTTTGATTTGCTGGCCTTAATTTATCTTAATTCAAATAAATTTAATTTAAACAAATAAAATCACAGAATGGCCCGGGTTGGAAAGGACCTCAAGGATCACCAACCTCCAACCCCCTGCTACGTGCAGGGCCACCAACTTCCATATCTAATACCAGACCAGGCTGCCCAGGGCCCCATCCAGCCTGGCCTTGAACACCTTCAGGGATGGGGCATCCACAGCCTCTCTTGGCAGCCTGTTCCAGCACCTCCCTCTTACAGTAAGGTGCTGGAACTCTTATAGTGAAGAACTTCCCCCTGACATCCAACTTAAATCTTCCCTGCCTCTACTTAAAACCACTGTCCTGCAGTCATCAACCTTTCCAAAGAGTTGACTCCCCTCCTGTTTATAGGCTCCTTTTAGGTACTGAAAGGCTGAAATTAGAAGCTACAGAACTGCACACATGAATCAGGAGCAAGGCAGAAATCTCCAGAAGAATCATATGCTGGCAACTGCTTATTCTGTGCACTCTTAGGTTACTCTACTTCTTTACATCTGAACAGAAATCACAAAATACAGTATTTATGATATTTACATATGATATTTACATTTTAACATCAATTTTTCAGAAATACAGTTGTTTTCTTTAATCTCATTACACAGCAGAGAGTTACAAATTTACCTTCTTCTGGACCTGCATGTGTTTCCATCTCTTCTTTTATCTCCTCTTTCATTTCTTCTTCAATCATCACTTTTCCTATGGAATTGGTCATTAAGCAATGGTTAGATGGTTATGGAGAACCATACAGAGGTTTCTTCCATTAGCAACCTCAGCATATGTGCAGTGTGTGCAGACACTAGACATAACAGCAATGTTCTTAAGAATTAAAGCATACAAACTATCCTAAAAATAAACACGTCCTAACAATAAAAATGCAAGGGTTACACCAGCAACAGGTATTTGCTGCAAGTCCAAGTCAAATGGAAGTTTCTTCTGCACTGAAACTATAGATATACAGTAAAAGTATATTTCCAGTGTATGCTTTGAAACATTTGCTGACAGTGCTGTTCAGTGGCCTTAATCATTCACATTCAACACATAGTCACAGAAATATTACATACAATGTATATAGAGAAATGTTATTACACTCCACAGCTTCCTTCTGAAAAGATCTTGCTACGGACCACAGAAAAGTGCACAGATGATCAATTTCAGCAAAAAGGTCGACCTCAATCCAACAGAAGTCTCAACAAAATGCAAAACCACACAATAAACAACCAACTGCAAAGAAACACAAACAGGCAGCAGTAAAGCACGTGGATTTTTTGTCTACCCCCAGAAGCTGAATCTACAAGCAAGTACAAACAGAACCTGCTTGTGCCATATCAGCATTCATCTTTATTACATTTAAGAATACAAGGAATACTGCGTGGAGTTTGACCAAAGGTCTGTCTTGCCCACTAGCCTACTTTCTACAGCAGAGAATCAAAGAGGCTGATAAATGGGGAACATGAACAACACCAGCAGGGTGATCCTTTCCCCGATTATTTCCTTAGCCAGCAGATTCAAGAGATGTATCTGTTCTCTTCTTTTTCATCAGTACACCTAACACACCAGTCTGAAAGAATAGGCATGTATTTATGCTAGTAGGGCACATTGTTATGTTCTTTTCTGGGAGTTCTGTTAAGCTATTTGTTCTGTGATGGGCCTAGAGCAACAAAGAAATAAAAGATTTCTATCACATCTTACCTTCTCTCACTTCTTGAATCAGTTCATCAGGAAGAATAAAATTCTTCTCTATATTTGGAAATGGAAGAATCTCAGATTCATGCTTGGTAAGAAAATAAAGATTTTTATGATTGATCTTGGTAAAAATAAAAATATATATATATAGAATAGAAATGCAATCTCAAGCTCTATTTTAAGTGCACTTAGTACCAAATAATTTTTAACAATTCTCAGATACTACAGCGTTAAGGATGCTCCTGATATCAAACTGGTTCCTAAGTTGAGATCACGACTCATGACCATTAGAGACCATTTCTGGAAAGACACTGTGGCAAATTCTTAAATAAATATATAAGCTGTCTGTTTGGTACCTAAGTACACGTGTAAATGTTTGCTGGATCAGCTCTTAGGCGATTAAAAATAAAAAGAGAATAAAATCAGTAAAAAGTCAGAACTCAGTATGGCAAAAACGAAAACACAAACCAAAACACGGTAAGTTTTATTGCCTCCCACCCAACGCACTTTCATACAGGAAAAACTTCATCTCCTCACTGGAACACACACAGCGTTCTGTAGCTTGAGAGCTGTCAGGTGCCAGGGATTACAACCAGTCAGGACTCCCTTATACTCACAAGAGCCTGCATGTCATACATGGTGCTCAGATGGTCCCAAATCACTTTGGAAGAAATCTGCCGTCCGATATTCTGACTGAATTTATCTCGGATACAAATCATGTGAAAATGGCGATTCACACCTGGGGGGAGAACTCAGTGCAATTAACACCGCCAACAGCTTGATTTGTGTCGCAAAATAATATCAATCATCAAACAAACAAACTATAATCACAGGGAAATCACAGAATGGCCAGGGTTGGAAGGGACCTCAAGGATCATGAATCTCCAACCCCCTGCCACATGCAGGGCCACCAACCTTCACATTTAATACCAGACCAGGCTGCCCACGGCCCATTCAACCTGGCTTTGAACATCTCTAGGGACGGAGCATCTACAGCCTCTCTG